GAAGAGCTGAAGACAAAAGGGTTAGTGGTTGTCCTTTAGGCATCTTTGGCCATCAGATCATGATCTGCCTTCCCAAACTGAGCTCAAAAGGGATATCTGGAAGATTCATTTGACAGTGCACTTTTACTGTCTGTTGAATGAAATGAGTTCATTTGTTTCTCCAGACGACCTACCCAAGTGCACATTACCAGCTGCATCACACTCTGGACTGACAGTCCTAACACTCTCCTTGTTGGAAAGATACCGGGGACAGAGCAGGGAATAGGGGCTAAGTCCACTGAATTCAAAACCTTTTCAGAAGAGGAAGAATTTGTAGAGGCAGACTCCTCTATTCCCATAGATTGAATGTCTTTTGGGACAGATCTTTGAGTCCAGCTTACTGTAAACCCACTCATTTCAATTTAAAATATCCTGCTATGTTCCTGGTCTCCAGTCATAGTGACCCAGGAGTGTTTTATAGGTAACCAACCCAAGGAATAACCTTGCTGTATGGGAATGAATCAAGTAGCAAAGAACCACTCTGATGGTAGCTCCCAGCTCTCTGTGCTGCTGAGAGCTACTCTTCTGACTGCTGAAGTGTCTTTGGATATCAAGTAGAGCTGATTCAGGCTTAGTGATTCTTTTACCTTGCCCTGATTTGCCTCTGCTCTTCCATGAATATTATCTCTCAAGCATGGATGGGAATGTGATTGCTCTCAGTTTCTCTTAGCTGTATCCAACAAGAGCTCTGCACAACCCACAGTCCAACATAGAACTGTTTCTCTCAGCCTCATGGGCTCCATTTGACTCCATCTGAGATGCTAAACAGCCCCTCTAAAACAGCTCCATATTTCCTATATCCAAACCCTCTTCTTTAAAGGCATGGTATGTAATCATCTGTTTTTGCTGAGGAAGAAGATTTCATAAGTCAAATAAGCCCAAGCAGCTGACAAGACCAAATCTTCAGAGAGCAATAGACACTTGAGTCTCCCATGACCCAAGGAAGAAAGACCAGAAAGCAAGACACAAAGCAATTGAAGCAGATATTTCAAAGATTTATTGTATAAATCTACAAAAAGTTTTGCTACAATAGCAAATAGAGCGTAGCACTAGTCTATTGACAGGTTCTAGTGGCTTGGTGTGATCTTGTAACTCCAACATGACACATGAGGAATAAACTGCCTGATACAGTCAGATCTAGGGCGAGTGATGTCGGCTTACAAAGACCTTTTGGCTTCAACCCCTATAACCTGTAACAATTCAATGCATTTGCCTTTTGTACAAGGTCATTTGAATTAATAATATCTCTAGTAAAAATAAAACCTCTAAAGTAGTTTTGTCAGAGTCAAATGTAAAATTGCCTAAGGAAAAGAAAGAAAAAACCCCAGTGGTTGAAATCCACTAAAATTGCACAGACACAATACATCCACACTTCTTCATTCATGTGCCTTTGCCCCAGGAAAATAAACTACCAGCCCTTCCTGGAGAGGCTGGTGATATAAACCAGGGTGCTACAAGTAAAGCTCCGATCTGCCAGGAGCAGTAATTGAAATAAAATCAGTCCAGGAGATTCAGTTCTGTACACTCCAAAAAGTCAGCTGAAAATGTATAAACCTCAGGACCAAATGACCACGTAGCACAGACAGGATAATTCATTAAAAAGGCAGGAAAGTCTATGGAAAAAAATAACATGCCTATTGAGGCTGCCAAGTCCCTTGTAAGGGATTGTGGAAGTTAAGCACCTCAAGCATAATTTTGGCCTATGAAGTCTGCCTTTACATGGTTTTACCCAATTTTCCAGTCCTGGACATTTTTGCTGAGCGTTGTTGGAATGCACATCAGGTCCCATTGGCTTAGTTCAAATGTGACAAAACACCACAGAATTTAGTGAGGTGGATTCGATTGCTCAACACACACATACCAGCACCGACACGCGCGCACGCATACCCGGGACAGTTGGTTCTGGAAGAGAGAGGAACCAACTGGACCTCTTCAGCTGAGATGTGAACCAAAACTGCCTTGTTCATTCATTCAAGCTCTTTCTTCTGCACTCTTTTTTGCACTCCCTGGGTCTGGATGGAAACAGTCACACCAAAGCCAGCACGAGAACCCCAGTTCTTGCAGTACCTCTGGCCCATGCAGATCCAGGAAGTGCCTGCTGTCTCACGAGACTACAACTTCTGGCAAGACAGTTATGCAGGCTCAAGCAGTTCAGACAAGCATCTGGAACTGCAGGATGCTTCTCCGAACCTTCAGAGCCCTTTGAGGTTTGAAACTAATACCCGCATGAAATGAAGCTACCCTCAACTCAGGAAAAATGAGTTACAGCATTAAGAGCATGGAGGGTTCATAGCCTAAGTAGGGTCAGTCATTTGGCAAAGTTAATCAGGAAAGTTTTTTTTTTAGCTGATAATCTAGTGAAGATTTCATTAGGTGAGTCCCAGTGGCCCCAAATTGCAGAGGTATGGTATCATCTCAACAGACAGTCAGCACAAGACCAGCATCCTTGCTGTTCACAAAGCTCAGACTTGGTTCTTCTGTTCTCCCTCTTGGTTTCTCTTTTCATTCTCAACACTTTCTTCTTTGCTTGGAGTACCTGGACCAGATCAGACTTTCATTCATCCTGTTGGAAGTGGCTTCCCCCTTTCATTCTGGCTCTCAGCACCTTGAACTGCATTGTGCTGCATGAGAGGCTCTTTGGTGAGTGATTTGCCCTCTGTCATCCTGCAGCACTCATTTCTCCCCTGGGAAAGCAGGACTCCTGGGCACAGAGAAGGAAATGCAGCAACAGCAGCAGGGATCTCTGTGAAAGAAAGTACAATGCAATAACTCCAGTTAGATGTCTGAAGTGGAGAACACAGGGGATTTCTCAGGACATGGGGTTATGCCCATTGGGAGTTTGCACCCTGGAGGTCCCACTCATTGGCATCTAAGCATTAGCCAGTGGTCCATCAGAAAGAAAGACATGACGTGCACTGTCCCCAGAGCATTAATCATTAGGGCTGGTGTTTGGGTTCCTACATCAAGAAGCTGAAATCCCACCTAGTTGGTGGTGCCAGGTTCTTGAAACCACTGGGCCTGAGGCCTCATGACCTAGGCTATTCAATCTTTCATGTCAGGGCACTGGGGAGGCTAAGAAAGGTCCACAAGGGTAAGATGGGAGGTAATTACCTGTGCCAGTCTTTCCTTCAGACAGTGGCTCCAGCAGTCAGTGGCTGGGAATCCTGACAGCATTTCTGATGTTGAATCCTTGGTTTTGGAGCTTTTTCTCTTTGGCTTATTTTCCAAATCCTGAGCACTGTGAAGTGATTCCTTCTCAGAGGAGGATCTGAGTGAGTCACTGCAACCAAGAGAAGATAATGTTTGTAATGAGCGGCCAGCTCATACTCAGCAATGACACCCACTCCCCCATCACTCATCCCAGGTCATTAGTGAGAAATCTCCCTTCTTTCTGCAGACACATCCACTGCTAACTAACTCTGACCAAGCAAGAGAAGATTTCCTCACTGTTCCTGAGACAGACTCACATCTAGCAAGGGTCCAGAGCAAACATGTGCCTCCTTTGGGCTGTGCATGGACCATGGGGCAAGTCCTTGGGCTGGGCTAATGAAACTTCCCATTTCCTCCCCATATTAATCAGAAAGTGCAAGATACTATCCTGTTTGGAAACTTTTCCCACTCACTGTCCTTTATTTCCTTTTTGCTGACTCTCCCTTCCCCTTTCTTGCAATCCTAATCTGTTATAATGCTTCATGTCCCATTTCAGATACTGTTTTATATCAGTGCCAGATTCCTACTGGAGGAGCTATGGCTAATTTAGGTCAGTGGAGTGCAGAATGTCAGAGAGTTGCCTTACCTTCAGCCTCTTGGAAGGAGTCACACCAAAAGGCCTTCCAAGCCATCACTGCCACACGTCACTGCTGTAGTAGTGCCAGGCGCATCCCAGGGGCATTCCT